ACTTTAAAAGAATAAAATTTAAAAGTTTTTTTAACTTTTATTTTTTATTTGTTTTTGTTCTCATTCTTTGTTCTAATCATTTTTGTTATTTTTTTTAAGCATATTTTTGACTTCATTTCTCATCTCTATTGTAAAAATTGTATAAGTACGTAGGTTTTTCTTTAAAAAAAAAACAATAATTTACATACAAACTTACTTTAGAATATTTTAAAGATGAAAAAACAAAAAAAAAACAGCAAAAACAATGACGATGAAATAAAAAATTTAAGAGAAAAAAAAACTTAAATATTAGAACTGCGAATTGAATGAGATGCGATGAAGGCAAGAATATTATGCATAGGTACGTATGCTAGGTAGATATAGCGGCATGTTAGTGTAGGTTTTGATTTGAATAAAAATAAAAAGCAAAATAAAAAACAAAAGTTAAACATCAAAACAAAGTTTTCCACTTTTCAGTTTAGTTATTCATGTGTGCACTTGATAAGAACATTTGCTGATCACAAACCATTAATGATATTGATGTTAACAATGATGATGATGATAATAGTGATATTGATGATGATGATGATTCTATAATATAAAATAATATTATATAACAATTGAAGTTATGTAATGATAACAATGATGCTTGTTGACGAACGATGTCAGCTCAATTCGTGCTCCGATTCAAAAAAAAAAAAAACAAGAAAAAAATGGAGAAAAAATGTAAAAATAAAATGAAACATTTTAACATAAATTTAGTACAACCTCAGAAAAAGCATTCAAAATAAAAGCAAGTATTAGTAAGTACAAAGAAAAAATTTTAAATTAAAAAAAAAAAAAAAAATTTAGTACATTTTAGAATTTAAACAACAGCGGCAACTACAACAAACGGGCTGTTCACTTTCATGTCATTATATACGACATAACATAAGAATATTGTATACGTCAAAAATGTCAGATTGCTTGAGTATGTGAAAGTATTTTTCCATTTACACTTTCTATAGCAAATATTGTGAAAATCTACATAAACACAAATGCGTATTGTTCTATATCTTACTGATGTTCGGTATTATTCTGTAAGTTAGTGCGTATGTACAGTAAAATGAAATAAAGAAAAAATCGTAATATAAAAAGGGAACAACGAATTTAAACAAAAAAAAAATTTGAAAACTGAATTTTTTTTTCATCGCACTGAAATGGAAATTTTTTTTCTCTTTTTTCTTCTTTAACTTTTATATTCAAGCATCTTTTCCAAGAGATTGATGTGAAAATTAGATATTTTGAAATTGTTTGGCAAGTAAATGAATGTATGTATCTCTTTGTTTTTATTTTTGTGAAAATGTAACTAAAATTTAATATTTAAACATACAGGCTGTCCCATATAATCCGTTCCTAGAAAAGTGAAAGAAATTGTAACTTGGTCATTGTTTTTTGTGTGAGAAGTTGATCAACCTTACTTGGAGATACTATCATTATAATTAATTTTGTAAGTAAGTGATATAGAAGCACTAAAAGAAAATTCATTGCCATGAATTTTATTTAGAAACCTGCGGGAGATTACAATAATTTCTTACTGTAATGAATATAATAGAAAGGTTAATTTCTATAATAGAAAGGTGTTCAACAAAATTAAAATAAAATTTCAAAATTAAAAATAGCTTTACTCTACCCGTTTTCGTAACAGTAGAACAAAATTTCTCTCTATATTCTTTTTAATATTTTCTTTTTTCTATATAGAGCGCCCAGAATTTGCGAAGAAGTGTTCATATTCGGAAACCGGTTTTTTTTCTATTTTATAATTTTACCAAATTTACAATTCTATTTTTTAATATTACCAAATTCTAAATTTGCTTAGAAAGTTATTGTTTTACTTGCTTGACGCAAGTCAGGATAATATAGAATATATATAGATTATATAGCTAAAAGAAAATTTTTTAGCTGTTTTATGAAATATTGGTTGGATATGAAATAACTATCGTACCTACATAGCACGACTTAACGTCTTACAACACAACTAGGTTTTGATAGAGAGCATATTCGTATTATGGAGCACAAAATAATTTATGATGCAATACGGGAGTTCGTATTTCATGGGTTTGACTGTTTATTAAAATAATTTTTTAATTTATTTTCTAATATGGCTTTTAGTCATAATATTAATAAAAACGTCAATATTTCACCTAATTTTCAGTAATTGAAATTTTTTCTTGATTTAAATAAAACGATCCGTTTCACACCTTTCATTTTTATACTGAAACACTTTGTATACATACGAGCAAATAAAAAATTATTTTACCATTGTTTATAAACATTTTACTCATAATTCGAACCATGCAAAAAAAAAGGGTTAAAATTATAATAACACCCCAAAGGAGAGATAGAGGATTTATTGAATAATGATTGTTGTCTGTATCTGAAGTATATTAAAAAAATAAATAAAAAAAAAAAAAACGAAAGGAAGAAAACGAGAATTTTCATTCTTTTCCTTACACTCTGCCATCCACTTTTCCCCTTCTTTCTATATTTTCGTATTTGTTACCGTAGCTTTTTGTATATTCTTCCCTGTTTTTATTTTTTTTTTTACGTTTTTTATTTTCTTGTGGAAAAAAAAAAAATAGGAAAGTGTTTGTGTGCATAAAATATCAAGTTACCGAAAAGTATAATGGTTTTTACTGTTATAAAACAAAATATATCTGTACATATATTTTCATATAACTCTTTTTAAGTAACATATACATATTTCACTTACTGTTATTATTATTCAAGTGGTTTGAGGGTTAAATATGGGTATAAGTAGGTGGTAAACAGTGTTAGAAATGATAATATTATAATGTGTTCTGAGATCTCTATAGACACCCCCCCATTTCATAAAATATTAAAGGTAAAGAAGAATAAATGTTTGTAGAGAAATGTTTTTCTTTAATTTTTTTTCTTCATATTATACAATAAGAGAAAATTCTAAAATAGAAGTTTTCCTGAATGAAATTGATAATATTTTTCTTTGGGTTTGTTTTTCGTTTTTGTTTTGCTTTTTGTTTGTAACGCACATATGATTGATGTCTTAAAAATTGTTTACGTATTTAATAATTTATACAAGTATATGAGAAGAGGAAATTTTATAAAAGAAAAATATAATATTAAAACGATTTAAATGTAATGATAAAGTTATAAATTATTATGGTGTCTTCTTTTTGCAATATATATGTATATGTAGAATTCAGCGGTGCGAATGAAATAATTATATTGTCAAAGAAGATTAAGAATTTTCCAATTCAATGATTTTTTTATTCAAATTAAATATACATTTAAATATTAAATGTATATTGCATTTTCACTTGGTTTAACATTTTATCAGTTTGTTTGACTTGCAACTTTAAAATTTAAATTCTTAAATATTTCCATTTAAAAAATTTTGTTATATTTTAAAGGTAGTGTACATTATTGGTATTATACGTTTACTCATAGGTGATTTGTGATATCGATAATTAAATTGATATTACAATTATATTTCAAAAGTATTGCTATAACAAATTATTTTCACATTATTTAAAATTAACACAAATATATGCAGGTCTTAAATTATAAACACTTAATCTAAGCAAATTGCAAACAAAACTAAAATGTATTACGAAAGTATAAGAAATTTATAATCTATTCTATAACAATGGTATTTATATAATTGATTTTGAACAGAATTTAAAATTTCATTTAAAAAATATTAACTCTGATAAACCTTTTCCTTTTATATTCTAATTGATTAAATGATCTAATTGGTTGCGCATACGTTAGATATATACGTTAGATAAGCTGGAGTTAGAGCTAAGAAAATTTTAAAAAATGTTTATAATTTTATAAATTTCTGCATTATTAAAATAATTTAAAATTTTATTGAGTGTGCTAACACTTGTGTGTTCAGATTGAGAGTGGTAGCACTTGTGTGTACGATTGAATATTTTTTATTTTAGAATTTCAATAATTTTTCGCAAAATAAAAAAAAATATTTATCCATTAAGCGAAGTCGAACACCTCTTATACGTATATTATTCTATATGAATCATCAAAAATAAAAATTCTTCCATGTCCTGATAATTGAAGTCATAAATTTTATGTTTCAACTTATTCTGATCATCGGATAATTAAGTGATAATGATATTTTATAGTAATTTTGATATTACATAATTTGACATTGTTATTTTAAACGAAAAACTAATTCCTATAAATAGTTTGTGTCTATTTAATAAAGTTTTTGAAACTTTTACGATCAAATTTACTAAAAGAAAATTTATGAGAATTTCATGCTGAGAATGGAAATCTCATAATATCATTATATTCGGTAATATTATTCGATATTTTTAAATTATTTGCCTTCTATAAGACCTGTTTTATCTCCGGATATCTGACAAATGGTGATTGATTGTGACACCAGTCTTTTAACCGAAGGGCTTCTGGTTCAAAACCTTGTCACTATAATAATTAACTTAATATTATATAGCTTAACATACAATATTATAAAAAATAAAATTTTAAATTGCCCATATATCCAATAATATTCGATATTACATTCCAATAAAAAATAAACAACAAATATTATAATAACCTTCAATATTTAGTATAAAAAAAACTAAGGCAGATTGTTCACCGCCTAGATAACTCAATAAACTGTGAAACTGATGCTTGACTCTAAATTCAAATGGAATTCTAATGCTCCCAAGAAGAAGAAGTAAGGCGAAGAAAAAAAAATTATCTCCGGATAAGCTCAATGTGACAATCGTGGTGGAACCAACACGGCAGGAAGTTTTTGTTACCAATTTCTGTGATTTTTAAATTAAAATTTACATCAACTAAATTATTTTTAAAAAATAAATTTTTTTATTTTCTCAAATTTTTTCATCATTTTTAGTGATTTTTTTTTTTCTTTTTTTCCTTTTTTTTTTGTAATTTACTAACACAACATTTTTCATAATAATAATTTATTTTTTTTTTTTGTTATTTTCTTTATTTTTTTTTTTAAATAATAAACTATCATTTTACATTTCTAAAACTACTACAATAGTTTTTGCTTTTTCAATAATTAATAATTTTATATAATAAGGATTTTCAATTATGTTTTGTTTTTTTCATTTTATTTCAAAAAAAAAAAATTTTAAATTTTATTTTTCAGTAAAAACTATTACAATCTCTTACTAGTGCGCTTAAATATGTGACTTTGTTTTTGTTTTTTTTTGTAGTAATTTTAATAGTTTTTTTTTATTTGTATGTATTTGTATTTTGTTTTTCTAATTTTTTTTGTTTTTTTTTTTTGGTTTTCTACTCACTGTTTAATTTTTTTAACTTAACATGCAATTATTATTAATAATTAATTTAACATTCTTTTTTTATTATAAATACGACAAAATAAATAATTAAATTTATTTGTCGTAATGTATTTTATGCATATATATAGATGGCGTGTGTTTATCATAGGAATTTTCCCGTATAATCAGGATTTCATCCCGCGTTTTGCGTTGCAAATTTTTAAGTACAATTTTTTATATTATTAATTATTATTTTTTTTTTTTTTAATTTTTTTTTGTTAAATTAATATTTTGTAGTATTTGAATTTTTTTTTTGTTTTCTTATTTTTTTTTTTAATATCTCAAATTGAGGCACTATCCGGCTATACCACAGGTTTTTGAGTTTTTTATTCAATATAATTTTGTGTATTTTGTGTTTCTTTGTTTGTTGTTGTATTTATACTCAAGGAAAATTTTCTTTAATTTGTCCGTCTTCCTCTTAATTCCTTATATAATAGATTTTTTTTTTGCATTTCCTTTTGAGTTCTTTCCAATTTTTTGTATGCTTGTTTGTTATTTTTGTTTTAAGGATTAATTAGATCACTTTTTAATTAATATAGTTATTATACATTGTTAATAACTTTTTCAATTAAAAAGGTGCTATATATGATGCGAGTCTAAAATATTGTAAATTGTACATTGAAGATTGAGCTGCCAAGAACTGGTGTTATCTGTATAAAAAGAGATAGAAAAAATAAAATAATTAGTATAGGTAAAGAGATTTTTAATTAATTAATAATCGGAATGTACAAAAACGATTTGTAGTAACAATAAAAATAATTAAATTTTTTATTTTCACCAAATTTTTTTTTTTTCTATAATTTTATTATTAATTCTTTAAGAATAACTAGTGGAAATTTCTTCATACAACTGCAGAACAGATGATCAATACCTGTTCTGCAATTGTCTAAAGACACATAGTATGAATGAAGGCTGCATTTGAATGAAAACACATAGTACTCGTATGACACATATATGAATAGACGTAATCAAAGGAACAAGGAGAAAATTTAAAAAGTTTTTCTTCTTGAACTGGACCCGAACCAGTGACTTACTGCTTTCTACGCGGACACTCTACCGATTGAACAGCAAAGGTATGAAGAAATTGCCGTCAAATTGTTGTTCATATTGCTTTATACTGTAATCTACATGATTGATTATTGTTTACATGAGATGCTACACATAATCATTCATTTGAACATGTTCCATATGTTCACAAGAGCATGTATCAATACTATTACAAGCTACTAATAAAACGTGCTCGATTTAATATTCTTTAATTTTAAAATACAAGAATAGTTAGAGTACGATTTTAGAAAATAAAAATTAATTAAGCGAAAGTCTAAAAATATTCTAAGAATAATTGAAATTTAGGAATGTGTTCATAAATTTTTAAAATATTTTGATAAAAATCACGTAATATTTTAAGAACTTATAAAATTTTAGCCGTTTTAAGAACTGATAAAATTTAAAAAAAAAAATATTATCTAAATTATGTTCTGAAAAACAAAAATTTTAGACTTAAAACGTTAGATTTCTTTCAGAAATTTTGGTTTGATCCAGTTTACATTTTTAAATGAAAGCATGTAAAATTTAAATCTAAGAATAATATAATTGAGAACTCGTACACAAATCATAAACAAATGGCTGCGATTTTAATTAGTGCAAACACTTTAACCGACTACACAATTATTTTTAAATTTTATGAAACTTAGGGAAGCGACTTACCTTAATGAAATAAAATTCCATGTTCCAAGAACTCTGTTTCCATTATATTCAGTAAATTTTTTGAATTTTATGCAGCAACAAAGTGATTTTTAACAGTGTAACAAAAAGCAGAATAAAAATATATTCTCAAGGATAATCAATATTTTATCCTTGATTTTTCTTAAACTATTTTTGAAAATCTATTATAATTGTATTTAAATACTTTCCTTATTGTTTCTCTCAATAATTTCATTCCGTTTTTTTTTTAATCATAAAAAACATAAAAAAACAACCACTTTTTTTCCTTTTCAATAACAAAAATTAACAATGAAAATTACACAATTTTTATTTTTTTTTGTCGTTTTTTTTCTTTTGTCTTTGAAAAATAATATTCAAAGTTTGTTCAAATTAATTTGAATAAATAAACATTTAAAAAAAAAAAATTTTTTAATAGCGCTCCTTGAACTATGAATTATTTTCCCGATCGAAATTATGATTTGATTGCATCATATTTAAAATTCCTAAGAGACGTAATGAACCATATGATTCAAAATCATCAACATTACGACGTCTTGGCGTACATGTTGCTGGACGTGGTAAAGCCAATGGAACTGGTAATAGTTCCGGCATCACAGAATGATGTGTTATTAAAGCCCTTAATGAGGTAAATTCTTTGGTAAAACCCTATATATATAAAAAAAAGAAAAATAATAATAATTTTAACACCTAATACTAATTGAAAAGAAAAATTACCTTAATTTTATAACCTCGTATTGTCCTTAATATTAAATAATGAGCTACTTTCGGTGCCGGCGGTGGTACTCTTACTGATAAAACAAAACAATCTGATTTTGTATTACTTTGACGGACTAGAAATGAACCAGGACTTTGGCTTGATAATATTTCAACAGCAATTTCACGTGATATACCAGCTTGAAACCATGCTGCACCTTTTAATTCTATTTGTTCAGTTGGACTTAAACCACCTTTATTTTTTAATAATGCAGATGGACCAAATATTCTAGGACTTGAATTTGCTACAAAAAATTTTCTCATTAATTTGTAATTTAAAATTTTTTTTTTCAAATAAAATTTACCACTACATGTTTCACGCATATATTTCTTTTTAAAATTAAATTCACTGTTATCCAAAAATTGATTAGTATCTAAAGTTGAAATTGCTGTCAATGATTGTCGGCACGAATCACCAAATTTACTAGAAATAATTTTTTCTGGTTCACAAATACCTTCATTGACATAACCATCAATTGTAGTTGTTGATCCAAGATGTTGTTTTTGTTGCTGCTGTTGTTGTTGTTGCAATTGTAATTGCTGCTGTTGTAATTGTTGTTCATTATTTAATGTTGTTGGTTTTGCATGTACTAAAGGTCTACTATCTTCAGTTAAACCAAATAAACCCATTGTTATACGTTTCACCTATATAAAACAAAAAAAAATAATACAATAATAATATAAAGGAAAGAAACAAAAAACAAAAATAAAAAAAAAACGATTAAAATTACAATATATCCTTGATTGGAATTTTAATAGATCCAATATAGCAGAGGTATTTGTGTATTATTATTGTATATATACTTAATGAAAAAAAGGATTAAAAATAAAGAAAAAAACAAATTAAATTGTTTACATAGAACGGAAATTGAATTGTCAATTTCCTTGCTTTTGCTTTTTTTATTCATTTATAAGATGGTGATGCTGTTATGCATAGCATACTGAAATTAAATGTAAAGCAAAATACTTAAAGGGAAATTGTACAAAAACAAACAAGCACCGACAAAGGATATAAAAAGTTTAAAGTGTAAATAAAAAAAAAATTTTCTACAAACTGGTTTCAGATCACAAATGAATAACATGATCAGAAAGCTAATATTTTCCGTAAACAGTTTTAATACATACGCTCAGAGCAAAGCTTAAAGGATCTTACGTTGTTTTTACACTACAACGCTTTTCATTTATTCCTTTTTTTTATTATTTTTTTTGAAAAAATATATTTAACCTTAATTTGTGCTTTACTTTTTGAGTAAACTGTAACTAATTAGCAGTGATTTGTATGCAAATCATTTCTCATAATGTACATATAACCATAATTATACGTTTACATTGTTACACGTTTCTGCTATAAAATATGTAGGAATTTGTTAATAATCAATATTATATTATGACTTTTGAAATAATCCGAAGTTACAGCGATGGGCCTTAAAGGATTTTGGTCTGTTTTTGAGAATTATTAGTTATGGTAGAATAATAAAGACGATCCTTAGCAGCTTTTGAACTCATAGGGTAAAAATTGCAGATTATTAATTTGGATCTCTTAAACAATTTGAAATTTTTTTGATTATTGATACCCAATTGATTTTCAGAAGAAAAAAATGTTTAAAATTCTAATGTTATTCGCCTTTCAATCTGAAATCACTTCAAATACAGCACAATTTTTACAGTTTGTCTATGATTTTCCTGGCATTAAGGAATAAAATCGCAATATAAAGTCTGGAAGTGCCTATATAAATAATCAATAAGAGGACAAGATTTATTAAGGGATACGCAACATATTAACCCTCTCTTAATTAGATTTTTTGTAAATGAGTTGTGTTATTACAGGAAAAAATAAAAATTGACTTTACTTAAAAGCTAGCTGTTTTTTTTTTTTTTAGGTTTATTCGATTGCTTAATTAATGTACCGTTGTAGGAGCCAAAATTTGTGTTGCATATAAATAAGATCGAATATCAATTGCAACTCGACTGACCCTGTAAAACTTACAAATAGCCTCCAATTTTTAAAAGGTTGCGCGGAATCTGTTGCGTTTAAATTAGTATTAGTATTTGTTATCTTTAGAGCAGAGGCTCCCAGACTTTTTCTCTTGTAGACCTCTTGTCGAGTTTTTCGATTTTTGATAGAACCCCTGCTACTATCTTTGATAGATTTTAGTTTCTAACAGTAGTAAGGTACACTTATGATGTGAGAAAGTTAAATAAAAAATTTATTTAATTAAATTCATATTTTTTCCTAGACCTTTAGCAGGTTTTCATAGACCCTTGGAAGTCTATATAGACCACTTTAGAAATCACTGCTTTACAGCCAAAACTCTTTATCGTTTACTATTAAATTGTTAATAGTAGAGAGAAACCAAAACATTTGTTACTATATCTCTGACATTTTTTATATTAAGATTTACAAATTTTACAATTTAACTGTTACTTTTTGCTCTAAATATACATTATATAGCTAAAAATAATGTTGTTATCGTTGTATATGTTGATTGTGTTGGGTAAACAACAATTAAGATGAAAGTACAACGTCTGGGTTTATTGTTTATTCTCTATGTGACTGTTTCAACATTTTTAATTAATTTTAATTTTTTTTTCTTTCATTTCCTCTTTCTCCACTCCTCTACTTTCTTTCTATTTTACTTCTTTCCTATCGGGTATACTATAACCTCTACTGTATTCAAAGTATGATATTTATGTTAGCATACATATAGGCAAAAATTTGTATAAAAATGTAAATAGGATTGGTAAAAGTAGTATAGCTAGCATCAGCAGCAGCAGTAATAATAGTGTGGTTGTTGTAAAATATTTTATATAATATTATATAAAATAAATAAAATAAAAAAAAACTGAACTCTATTATGTAAAATGCTTGAAGGCAATTTAATTATTACATTTTTTTTTATATAAGATAATGATGGGGATAATATAAAGAGTTCAAATCCAGAATGTATATTCATTTTAAATATTATAAATATAGAAGAGTAAAGTTATTGGACACAATATGCTACTGTGCTATTACACTTCCATATAATGTTAACGCTATGCTAGTATCGTTTAAATAATTGTAGAGTGCGGTGAGAAATAAATTAATTGTTTTGCAAGAATATTTTATAAAAGGTTGTTTGAAATTACAAAAGGTTATTTGAATTTTTTTTACTTTACACTTGTAAATTACTACTTAAATGTACTCATGTATGATTGTACATATAGCTACAAAATAGGATTTTCTTAAACTTTTAAATTACAAAGTATTACAAAAGAAAAAGTTTCTTTTAAAATTTTAATCAGCAATCATTGTAGAAATTTATATTTAAAATATTATAAAAAGCCTTCTATAATAATTTATTTGAGTGTTATTGTGCGGGAGGGTTTTGCATCTTAATTTAAAATTTTCATTGTTCCAAAATTAAAATATCGATCTTAAATGGGCTTTAGTAAACAGCTTATATGAGTAGATTATTTTTAGACACTTATATGACAATATTTTAAATTATAATTATTCAAACAACAAATAATGTAAAACAGCTGTCTGCAATGTGCGGCCCATGGGCAGAATGCATCATTCAACTTAAAAATGTGGCATATGCTTGGAAATTCGAAAATAAGAGAAAAATATATTCGATTGCGACTATTAAAATTTTTCATAATCTTTGGAATTCAATCGTAGATATTAGATATGGGAATATAAAATTATATAAAAATCTATTATTTGTCAAAATAATCAATGAAGTCAGTTGAAAATGTTTAACATTCTTGTAAGTAGGTAATGTAAGAACCTCGAGTGGCCTCTACTCATACTCATAGAGAACATATTTGCCCATAAAACACAAAAGTTTGCCGACGTGTAATTTAAAATATTTAAGAATTTTTTTTTTAAATTTTGTAAATGTAATTTTTATTTTATTTTACATTGAACTTGTTGGTTTTAAATTGAAAATATTTCCAACAACAATTTTAAGATTTCGAAAATCAATTTACTTTTTGTTTTTCACTTCGTATGCGAATATCTAAATCACATGGAAATCAAAAACTATTTTAAAAATTATTAGGAAATTTAATTATTTATTATTAGAAAAAAAGTATTGAATTTTTTCCAGTACATAAAAAGTAATTAATTTATAAAATTTTCAAATTCACGTGAATTGAATTTTTAAAAGTATAGAAGGGTTATTGTGTGTCATATTGTTTAAATTTCGAAAGTATATCGTTAAATCTAACAATACAGCCATATATACACATTACAAATTCATTCCTTTTAATTCAACTCTTTTATTTCTATCAGCATTTAAAATTCTATTAATAGAACAGTATACAAGTTTTAAGACACAGTTTTGTTACATTTTATTACATACAATAAAATAAATTCTATTTACAGCTACTATATAAGTAAAAAACCTAATAAAACACTATACAAAACTTAAACCTTACCATCCCAAAAAAATAAAGTGAAAATTTTCTAACTCATTTAAAATTTATAAGGAAAATTTCTTGTATACATTTTTGAAAATTTTTCTATGTACACTTTAAATAATTTACTTCATTTTCAAGCACAACCTATATAGATGACACATATATACACATACTTTGGGGAAAGACTGGTGCATAAAACGTGATCAATAGTTCAACTTCATCGTTTGTCATACAAACATTTTTTCATCGTTTGTCATACATTTCTTTTTCTTCAGAATGCTTAAATCAAAAAATTTTTAAATGAAGCGTCAGTATTAAAAAAGGTAAATATAAAAGGTGTTGTAATAAAAATTATGATTTTTTTTTTGGATTTTTGAATGAACAGCAAATTCAATATAGGGTTGAGCTTTTAAAATGAAGAGAAATCACTGGTGTTTTACATTTTATGGCTCAACGTATAGGGTGGTTTCAAATTGCTCAACAATTAAAGAAATTGCAAAATTATTTTCCGAAGTGGAGAAGTAAGAAACTAGTTTCACCATTTTACGGTCCTACAAATCTAAACTGAAACTATTTAACTGGAAACTCTTTTATTCCTATTTTCTCAATCTCTTTTTACCCTATTGTTCAAAAATTACATAAAAATACTAGCTACAGAGTAGGAATACTTTGTGTTTTAGCTAGGTAAGAATTTCAGAATAAAATGCGAGTAAAACAATTTTGCATTACAAATCCCAAATTCATGTCCAAATCAAATTTAAGTGAATTACCGTAATACATCACTACCTAACTAAGACTATTTTGCTTAAATAATTCTCTTAAAAAATGTGCGCCAACTTGATTCCAATCATTTAAACCAACTTGATTCATTAAATTTTAGCCAATAAATAAAATTTTCTCTTCCGTTTTTTCCTTATAAAAAATGCTATTAAAGTTGTCGATAACCAACTTTGATGATTCGATTCAATTATTATATTCAGTTTATTTCTATCAGCATATAAAAAATATGTACAAAATTTATAAAATTCAAATTTATTTCAACTATATTGTACCTGAGGTGTACCACATTTTGAATATTTTGTATTCATATAAAATATAATAGTTTTATGTTATGACAAAAACAAAAAATACATAGAAGGTTCTTTCTAACTACATTTATATTGTATAACAATTTGGTTTACCACAGAAGGTGCAAAAGGATCAAAACCAATTCAAAGATTTAAAAAAAAATTATTAAG